CTTGTAGCTATAGCTGTAGGGTGGTTGTTGATATGATTCGCAATGGAAAAATAGTTTTATGGATTGATTCTCTCTGCGATTGCCACGAACCTCTGAAAAATTTACGAATGCAGTTGGCTATGCATTTTGTTGGAAAATCTCATTTCACTAGAGAGAAATGTGTAACTAAGGGTTTCGAGTTAGCTTCAGATAAGCAGAACTGACTCAATTTAGCTATATTATAACGATTTTGGCTTGAAAAATACCCACCGAATCTTGATGAGGGAAAAATGTGTGTAGCTGCTTTGTAATACGATTATCAAGTGGATTTTATGTTTACTAGAAGAAAATTGATCAGACAGGTTGGAGGACGTACCAAAGGCCAGACGATAAATCAGGTGGGCACGGTGTTGGTTGGAGCCCGATTATACCTTACGCATTTTCTGTGCCTCAAGACTGGGATGAGGTGATAAAATGAATCTTTAAATTCACGTTTTAGAAAATCAGCGTTCTATCGCGTTTCTCTCCTGTTTTTGCATAGCATCCTTTTAAATATGCATTTCCTCGAACAATCTTTTTTTTGGGGGGGTCTCATTATGGCTAAGTTTTATTTTGTTCCACAGGTTCCTGTCTCGATTGCCGACCTTGGAGGCACTGAGATTGATTTGAGATTTGCAAGTCCTAAAGAGGGACGCCTTTTTGTGATTGTAGCTCCTGTTCTAAGATTTGCAGATAGTTAGTTTCTGTTCTCATAATGTTTTTTATGCTTAATTTTAATACTCATCCATAATAACTAGTAGTATAGCAATAATTTTTCGGAGATGACTTGACGTGACGAAGCTTGTCCGAGATTTGAAATCTTCTTGTAATTCTTGCCATCAGTAACAAAAAAACTATTTAGAAACTACCCCTCTCATCAAGTTAAACTTTTAAATTCAAGATAGAACCATTTCTTAATATTAAAACTTCTCTTGGTTCTCTCTCTCTCTCTCTCTCTCTCTCTCTCTCTCTCTCTCTCTCTCTCTTNNNNTTTTTTTTTTTTTCAAAACTACTCTAAGCTCATGGGTGGTTCATGTATCTATCCCTTGTGTTTCTTTTACTTTTACAAAGAGATATTCGTCTTATGTAAGTTGCAACAACTAGTAACTTAAAGGTAGCATTTTTTCCTTTTGAATTATTCCGAACAAACAATAAGTGAAGTCCTAATCTTGGTTGCCCTGTGATTTTTCAGATCTTGGTGATGACGCGACTATAGAACGGATTGGGACTCCTGAGAAGGTGATAAATGCTTTTGGACCAGAAGTAATTGGGGAAAATGTTGAAGGAAAAGTCGTAAGTTCTAAAGTATCAGAGCACTCGGGTAGGAAATATTACCAGTTTGAGTTAGAGCCGCCACACGTCCTAATAACAGCAACAGCGGCAGGCAATCGCCTCTACTTGTTCAACATTACTGGAAATGGTAAGTTCATTACTGCACTTGCTTGCAATCCTAAGAGAGAAAAATTTAACTATTCATCTTTTTTGTAATTTTTTATTTTATATATAATTTAATTGGTTATGTTCGATTTTTACAGGTCTTCAGTGGAAGAAGCACTACAAGGATCTCAAGAAGATAGCCGACTCTTTCCGGGTCATCTAAGACACCAACTACAATATGTTTCGAAACTCTAGCGAAAGCTTGAGAACAGATTTGAGCTTTGTATCTAACAGTGTATTCTCATTAAATTTTTGTGATGCCGTATAGTACAAAGAGAGATATTTCCCCAAATACATTTTTCGCCTCTTGTCCAGAAGCTCTTGCATTCGATATCTAATGATGTGAACATGTAGCCTAATTACAAAACAAGATTCACTTATGTTTGTTTTTTGCGACTGTTTGATTACCCTTCTCAAATAACAAGTGCACTATGTCCCGGTGTTTTCTCAGCCCCCGTAGAATGAAACACGACACGAGCCCCTTCTGACATTGCCCATCTTTCAGACTCTGCATACATGCTCGACAAGAGCACATAATGCTTATCATTAGCCAAACCATATTTGGTCTTCAACTTGCCAACCAATTCCATCACATTCGCTGCCATAGTTGCATCCGAATATATCCGACATGCACCGAGCATAGCCCCTAGAACCTTATCATTTGGGGTCATAGGCATACCCTTGATGACCTCAAAAGCATCCTGAAGTCTACCAGCTCGACCCAAAAGATCAACCAGACAACCATAATGCTTCATGTTCGGTTTCAAACCATATATCTTCATCTTGGAGAAAGATTCCAAGCCCACATCCAGAAAACCTCCATGCGCGCAAGCCGATAAAACGGAGAGAAAAGTCACGGAGTCAGGTTTTTCGCCCGAGCCCTCCATTGTCCCAAAAATTTCAACCGCCTCCCGACTTCTCCCGTGAATGGCATATCCTGTGATCAAACTATTCCAAGTTGATGTATTTCTCCTTGGTACCTCGTGAAAGATTGATCTCGCGTTTTCCAAGTCCCCGCATTTTGCGTACATGTCAACCAATCCATTCAAAATGAACTCGTTCATCTCAATCCTATTTACGTAAATAATCCTGTGAATCTCTCTCCCAATATCCAATCTCCCCGACTGAGCACAAGCAGACAAAACACTGGCCAATGTGACCTCGTCAGGCTTGAACCCTTCTTCCCGCATTTTCCGAAAAGCATCAAAAACCTCCTCACACATCCCATTCTGCGCGTATCCTGAAATCAACGAGTTCCAAACCACGACATTCCATGACCCTGCATCATCGAAAACCTGTCGAGCCTTTACAAAATCTCCTGCCCTGAAATACCCCATGATCAAAACCGACCACACGTAGAAATTCCTCTTGGGCATTTTCTCAAACACATCCCGGGCAGCCTCCATCTCCCCGTTGGCAGCATACCCACTGACCATCACCGTCCACGTCACCACGCTCCTCATGTACTCGGGCACGCACTCGAAAACCCTCCGGGCGGC